ATTGTTGTCAAGGTTTTTTCCAACATAGGTAGGAAGAATGAGTATCGAAATAATGTCACGTGCAGATATGAGCATAAGTTTGTTTGAGTCTATTTGTTTTTCATAATCATAACTCCATATTCTACAAATATGATTCAAACAGATTTTCACGAATAGCAAATGTATTTTATTTTTATGCGAAAAAAATTTCCAAAAAAACATGATTTGTTTCTCATAATATTTTTTCGAGTTATTTTTATATACATAGCTATATGCCTGTAATACATACAACAATTGCAAGTAAAATTCAAAACATACACAGGAACACTAGATTTACACGAGTAAAATATAAACATACATTTATATAAATATTGTTATTCTTATATGCCGTCTCTTGTTTAATTAATGTCTGACTGTTTGGATTCTAATTTAACGTACAACACTTTAAATAAAATATATGGCCATTTTTACATTTCTTTTTTTTTCGTCTTAACATATCTATTATCGATAAAAAAAACAAATCAATGATGAATTTATATTAATTGATTTATAATATTTTATTAGAAGTAAGTTAATATTTCTTCTATGTATTTAATAAACAAAATATTCATATGACCATGAAACGTACCTCAAGATAAAGTTTCTGTGCTTTAGATATTTGCGAAAGCTTCGAACTAATACATCAATTTTCATTCGTGACTATGGCAAATATGTAATGTGCATACTCTGAATTTCGTATTCCGAAATAGGTTATTTGCCAATGTTTCAAAATTTGTTGCTAGTTTTTTCTTAAAAGATGTAGGTATAATAATAGTTTGGATTTTACATCATTCGTACAAATTAAGAGATCTTATGTTCGTTCTTGAAATTTTGATCATAAATGACTCTCGCTAAAATTTGTCTCAACGGTAAAACGTCAAGTCAAAATCAAAAATCAAATATTCTGTTATTAGAACTTTCCTCATTAGTAAAATAACCATAAAGTTCAGTAGATATTCAATAGCTCAAATTAAAAAAAATTCATAAGGTGAAGTATGGATGATTGAAGAAGAAGAAGAAGAAGAAATCACAGCCATAGGCACACCCAAACCCAAAATACACAGGTGTAAATCAATTCTAGAAAAATTAAAGACAAGTATATATATATATTAGTTTTATATTTTTGAAAGCATGAAATTACAATGAGTTTTCAATTAATTTTAAACATCAAATCTTTTTCAAATAGGTTCAATACAAATTGAAGAATTTGATTGCATTTTTTTCTACGTAAATTTTTCTAAATAAATTATTATGTTGTAGAGATGAACAAGTAAATAAAAATTAAGATATGACTGAATAACAACAACATTTAATAGCATATAAGCCATTCGAGATCATATTCGATGAATTTAATTTATGACAAAGTCGACATACTTTCAATTAAATATTCCGATATATCAATAGATTCTTTTTTTAAATTTTTCATTCGTTAAAGAATTAATTTTGGAATAATACGATAAATTATCATTAAAAAAACCAGAATAAGCAAAGAAGAAATGTTTTTGTTTTTTACTTGTCATATCATCATTACTATTAATTTCTTTATACATTTGTTTGTCAACCTTCATCAATACCATCGAGTAGAGAATAAATACACCATTACTATGAGAATCATTATAGATTGTGGCCAAATATATACAAAAGTGTTCATTATTATTTACTTCTGAACAAGTACGCCAATCTGAATAGAAATTTCACTAAAGAAAAAGAAATCAATATGAAATTTGATTTGACATGTGACTGCAGCAAAAACATGTCTGTCATAGTAACAAATGTTACACCATAGAAAGAAAAAGAATTTTCGTTTCATTAAATAAATAAAGACATCATACATTATTATTTTATTTTTCATCAGATACTTTTCTTATTAATAATATACAGTAATAAGACAAAAGAAATAAGACACAAATTTAAAAAAATAAAATATTAAACCAAGTCATTACTGTGACTATGGCAGAGAGTGTGGCTTTAGGTGGGAGGATCTTAGTAAATGAAGTACTTTGATCCACATCCTACTCACACGGGCGCAAAATAACGTCTTTATACTTTAAGTATTTACAAGATCGAAACATATCCCTATTGAACATGTAGCAAAGACTATATTTTAATTATAAGAATTTCGGTTGATGAAAAGTTTTTCACTTTATACAATATTGTTTTATAAAGACATAATCTATCGCCACCTATCATTGTATAAAACAGAAATGTCAAATGGTGTTTATGAATATTCAATCGATGTTAGGCTTTTTCAGTTGACTATTCATTCATTCATTATGATTATCAAATAATATTTAAACTTATTTATTTGACTTTAAAATAAATGAATTGAATATAAATTAAACAAAATGGATAAACTAAGTAAATCAGTTGAAGTTATAAAATTACTTTCAACAACAATATCAGAAACATTAAGTATCAAGTAAACAATTTGATTTTTTTCTATTTTTCATTTTTCTTTATCTCTTCTCCAATGTTTTTCTCATTTAGAGGTAACAATGAAAATGATTATGATGTACCATTGACTGTCGAAGAAAATCTTAATCAACTTGTTCAAGTATTAGAAAAGAATTTTTTCTATAAGTTTTTATTAATTATAAAACATTATCCTAATGTTGGACCAAAAGCTTTAAAAGGTTATTTTTTTTTATTTGACTTAAATTTATAATACGGTTTATTTTTTAATTTAGATTAGATGTTCTATAACGGTTTGCTAAATTAACAAATGTAATACATTCGAAAAAGTTTCAAATATTTTATCAAAATATTATGAACTCTTTTCCTATTCTTGGTCGATGGATTAATGATAAAGAAATTAAAGTAAGTAAGAAAAAATCTTTGTGATCTAAGACAAGTTTTCTAAAGAAGTAATCAGAAAAATATCATGTGATTGAATGGAAAACGTAAAAAAAGAATTGCTCTAGTTAATTGACAACTTCTCAGCCTATGTTTCGGTTTAAACTTCAAGCAGGAGAGGATGTTTTTCAGAAAATGTAGAATAGATAGTCTGATACTATTTGAAAAAATACGAACTGAGAAACTATCCATCATTTGAAGCGATCCTTGCTCGAAAGTAATCCAATGTAGAGTTTCATGGAACTTAAGAATTGTTTAGTCATAGTAGTTCAGTAGCTATCGTTATAGTTAAAGTATGAAGTCGATTGAGAATGAATTTTTCTTTTTCTTTATCTAATATTAATAATAAATTATTTTCAGGAACCTCTCATGCCCTATTCAGTCAATATGTTATCCCATGGTTAAAGCACGTTTTTTAATGATAAATGCAATTAGTAAGTTTTTTTTTCTTTTTAATAGATCAATGATTTCCACATCAAAATCAAAATGCTAGTACACATTTAATAATTCATTATCTTGGTGTAATAAAAAATCTTATTCAATTACATGGTTATTCAAATTTATTTGATTTCAATTTAAATTGGATCTATATAAAAAACTTGTGTTAGTGAAGCCATAAAAACAGGTAAACATTGAGAAAAAAAAACAAGAATTTTCTTTTCTTTTTTCTTTTCTAAAACAATAGTTTATTCTAGTAAATAAAATGAATGATGAATTCGATTCAACATCAATGATAAGCCAAACTTCTTATCCAGTTGCCACTTGTTGTTCTGTATCATCTCTAGGGTTTTCCATGAGTCCATACTCATTTCTATAAGAGTTTCAGTCGATTTTTGCCCTCTGCGTGGATCTCAGCATCATATTGTACTATGACTTTGATCATGTTCTCAATTAAAGCGGCAGACATACTTTGAGACAACTCCTTTGACTAGAATTCCGTACAGTTCAGGTTTTAGAAGTGTACTTGATAGCTCTCCAAGTTTCTGTAAGGATCGTTTAAGCTGCTTACGGTTCTTTTATGCTCAAATTCCATCTTACAAGTGAACAGTCGTAATTGATAAGCACCGTTCGCCATTCATGCGTTGCTGGTATTGAGGTTCATCATGTTTACAAATTACCCAAAAGAATCCCTACCATGGCTGCTTTATTTCGGAGTGATGAAATGAGCAAGCATCATGGTAGTTATTGCTATCTTCTCTGTGTCACTAATTTTTCTTTGCATACCTTAACCAGAAAATGCATGTGTACTGAAAATTTGATCATTAACTTACTTTTTTCTGACTATTTCCCTTTAAATCCTCAGATGAATCTGACTTTGCGTCAGCGAAATAGACATTTTCATATTCATTTTTTTATACATAGAGGGGTCACAAAGCAATAAGAATGATATTTTCGTTTCTCATAGAAAGCTTTAAAATTTTTTCTTTCTATACAGTGTGATAGAGAAAATGATGATGCATTTTCCTATGCTATTTGATTATACCTCAAATGATCTAATGAAAAGAAATTCTGGATAAGAATTTTCTTCGTTATCATATCTACTAGATCACAACGAAGGAAATAGATTAGCTTCAGTCTCTTACTGCATTTTATTAACAATCAAAAGATACCATACGATGCTCCATAAAAAGCTCTACATTTTACATAAGACCAATTATTTTCAAGTTACACTTTTTGTTTTCAAAAACAGAGTTTTGCTTTTGATGAAGGCAACTGCAATAAGCTTTACTGTAAACTATACGGTGCCTTTCATCTAAGCGAAGTTACACAGATTTCGTCAAGAGTTTCTTTTTACGCAAAAAAAATGAACATTGAGGTGCCTTCTCGAATGAGAAAAAATCTCATATAATAAATTTTGTAAGTCGACTTTTGATCTGCAAACTGACATATAAATAAAGATTCCAACTTTTACGTTCAAATCATAATAGAGAAAATGAAAAAGTGTGCAGAAAAAACTTTCTGTTCGAAGTAATATTTTGAGCTTTTCAAAG